AACAACAGCTCTCAAAACTGAAGGGAAGAAAGACATTCATAATAACAGACAATAGTCAAAGTAGCTTGGTTTACCTGGACAGCAGCACAGAACAAAAGAACAGCTGAATGTTCCATCAGCAAAATAAATGGCTTAAAAGAACAATTCAGTGTTTTACTATCTTTATACTTTGGAAGCCATTAGACATCTACATTGCATGAGTGCAGTTGTACCAACCCATATGAACAAGAGAGGACTTTCAGCACTACAAGCAGAAAAAGGAAATTAATTCTTAGAACAGCATTTGTATATGACAGCATTACAAATCAACATGTAGACAAGTATTTGCTTACGTTACAAAAGGCTGCCGAACAGAAGGACATATATTACCAGCCACCTGTGTTTTAAGAGTCACGCAAACTTTGTAACCCTGCTCTCTGAAGACAAGCACGCTAACAAAACATCAGTTAACACATTGTGGCTCCTACTCAACACCGTCCTGCAAATCCAGATGGCAGGTTCTTCATTTAACCACTTCGTTACCAGATTGCATTATACATTTATGGGGAACACGAACACACACACACACACACACACACACGTTAAACGTCAGATTAAAAAAAAAACTATGTCAATAATATGAGTAGTGCCACAACAAGCCTGCATTCACAGGACATTTTTAGTAGTTTTTCTTTTTGCGCTTTTTTTCCCCCAAGCGTACTCAGGCTTGAGCATTTTGATTTAGCCAATGACAAGCTAGGTACAAGGCGAAGGAGAAGGTTGATCAGTCTTGAAAACCAAAAGCTAATTTTCAGGCATATTCAACTGTTTCAGGAGCTTCCACTGAAATCTATGGAAACAAAAATGCCCCGTTCGGCTTTAAAAGTAGCTCATTCACATTTTTTTTGAGCTTCAGGGGTTGAGTTACAGATGCTTGGGGGCTCACAAGTTAATAGGCACAATTTAAAAGCATAGGATTTTGGTTGGTAAGCATTTTGGAGCTTTGAGCTTCAAGCTACAAAATGCTCGTGTGAATCTGAGCTAACAGGCAACTCAAATTAAAGTGACACAAAAACGGGAGTAAATCTAAAAAAAAAAAAATCTTATAGGCGCCATTCCCATATAGCGTTTGTTTCCCGCACGGTTTTTCCGTGCGGAAGACCACGTGGCACGCAAACATTAAATCTTTCATCAGCACGGATTTAGCTTGTTTGCGGCTATTACTATAGTCGTGAATGTGCGGAATCCTTCACAAAATAACTCTTGTACCATTTTGTGGTCCGTGCAGTTTCGTATCATGCGGCCGCCGCAAAAGTCTGCACAATGTATACTTAAGTGCATTGCTTTTTATGTTTAGAGTAGCTCCGCGCGTATTCGTACGGCCAAATACATGCGGACAATCGCTTCTGTGTGAATTGAGCTTTAGTACCCCATCAACAAAAATATCTTATTTGTGTATCATTCGGCTGTAGATCCTCAAATCATCTCTGAATTTGTGCCGACACTGTCCTTCCTTCTGGAGGGTGGCTACTTTTGTTTCCCATGGTCCATGTGTGTGTAGTAATGTAGCCACCGCTCCAAGCTCACTCCCGTGATGGACTACAATCTCAATACAAATTAGTAAACCAAATGTGAGATTGTAGTCCATCACAGGAGCGAGCTTGGAGCGATGACTTCTTTACAACACACACAGGGACCTTACAACACACACAGGGACCTTGGGGAACAAAAGTAGCCACCCTCCAGAAGGAAGGGCAGTGCTAGCACAAATTCAGAGATGATTTGAGGATCTACAGCCGAGTGATACACAAATAAGATACATTAATAGTGAAGGTACTTGAATGCATTCTAACACTCAAGTTTTCCTGTCAGTCAAACTTGGCCCGTTTCTACCTTCTGACCCATCCTACAGGCCATAGACCAAATCATCACACATAAGACCAATAAGGAAACAGCCACTCTCCACTTTAGTAATTACTTCCTTGTAGAAGATTTTTCTTCTGGCTCTGCATCATTTTATTTAATGCAGTAAAATAAATTGTCAGTAAATAATTTCATGCCCACAAAGTTTTAAGTGCCGCTTTGCGTAGAACTACTCCCATCTCTTTGCTGGATCTGCTGATTACCGTCGATAAACTGTATTTTTCTCAATAGAAAGAAGGTTTGTTCTTCTGAAATTACATTAGGGTTGGGGTATATGTCTAAAATGAGTACAAGAGTGCTTACTGGAGTAATTTGATGGTCTGTGTCCTTCAAAATTTGCATTTAAATTATAGCAAGATGTAGGGGATTTCAATTACCCACTGGCTCCCAATTCTCTTAAACTGGCGGGATCTACTAATCATCAAAGCATCAGCTGGTGCAGAGTTGGGAGCACATGCACAGATATTTACTGCTGGAGTACTCAAAATATGTACAACTGACAGATGCTTCAACATACAGACATCCAGCTACCACTGCCGAAACATTGGATATGGATTAAATTGACTACGAAGATCTTAAAAGCTAGCAACATTTGGTACGTAGGACGCCACAGCAATCAGTAGTACTTAAAAGTCCCATAATGACCATCAATTTCCCATAAGAACAGAAAGATCAGCTAGCCCCATACATACATAGACCGCCACAAACCAAGGTTATATCAGATCTAATCTGTTCAAAATGTACATGTCTGAGGATTCCCCATGGAGAACCCCTCTGACTTAGTTTGGACAGCAGGAAAAAGAAAAAAAAAAAAACTAGCACAGTTCCAGTGATGGACTACAATCACTATACAGAGGAGTAAAATAGACATGAGATTGTGGTCCATCACAGGAGCGAGCTTGGAGTGGTGGCTACTTTACAACACACACAGGGACCATGGGGAACAAAAGTAGCCCCCTCCAGAAGGAAGGACAGTGTCAGCTGTAGATCCTCAAATCATCTCTGAATTGGTGCTGAGTGATGCACAAATAAGATACATTATTTTAGGTACTGTATTTTTAGTTTTACCTCCCGAGTTTAGTCAGTTTAACCCCTATAGAACATGAAAGCAAACTATAGTATAGGAGAAGAAATAAACCAAACCAAACATAGGAATACACAAAACGCCTCTAAAAAAATGAATTGTCACCTGAGCCATAAAGCAACATTCATTTTACCAAGCAATGCAAATACAAAGGGGATATCAATGAAGCATATATAAACATTAAACATGTATGAACGAAGACCAAAACCTTTTCTTCTAGCAAGAGATCATGAGTCTTCATTTTAGATGTCTAGACCACTAGAAGAAATAGCTTTTCTACAAAAATAAAATGAAACACACGGCTAATGTGTTTACTAGTTAGCAATGAAAAATAAATGAGGGAAAAAAGGTCACGATAAACATTGCACACCAACTTGTACACATTTATACATCTACCAGCTCAGATTATTAGTAGATGCCAATTCAAACTGGAACTGCTTGTAGAATACATTTGCTGCCTGTGCCAAAACGTTTTCCTTCTACACCCAGATCTGTCACTATATAAGCTTGCAGACATTACAATCATTAGCCTGAAAAACTCAAGCACATAAAGCAGCCATGTGACACGATTGTGTCATACTTCAATATGAATAAAATACTGCACATGTTATTTTGCAGCACATGTTATTTTGCAGCAAATACAACAGGAAGGGCAATCTGATGTAGGTACATATATTGCTTGCATTTTAAACTACAGACAAATTAATACATATCTGGATTATTCTGTAACTTTTATATCTGCCTGGAGCTAGGCTTTAAAGCTGAAGTGCAGTGTTCCCATAGAATACCTTTACCTGTTCCCCACCGATTAACATGCAATTAAAATCTCTCAAATAATTTAGTTTTTTAGGAAATACCTGTTCCGACAGCCAGGAAAATCATTTGCGAGTCTGTCCGCTGCTCTTTGGTGGGGGGTTTACAAATCGGCAGGTTCCTGTAAAGGTCACAGCCTTCTGCCTTAGAACTTTCTCAAAAGAATAAAGAACACTTCCCCTGGATCCCTTTTAATGTGCCCGCTTCTCCTTGCTGGCCATTGGGTGCTGTAGACTTTAGCTGTGCAATCTGCTGATTGGTTGCAGGCAAGTCTAAAGGGATGCCGGGGAAGGGTTCTTTTATGCTTTTGAATTTTTTTGATTTCTTTTATTCTTTCCTCCCAGGCAGAAAGTTGTGGCATGTACAGGGTTCACATTAAGCATTCTCTACCCCCATATAATTTTGTATGCCAAGCTTTTAGTTGTTAGAGGGGGGCCCAAAGAGTACAGATCGGGGGGAGAAGAGATTGGTGAATGTCGGAGGTCATTAAAAAGGAGAACTATGAGGTGAGTGCTTTTTACTCACCTCATAGTTCTAGCCGACCTGTGACAATGAGACAGTCACAGGTCGGCTCAGTAGCTCGGGAGGTGAGCGAACATACCGGCGTTCGCTCACCTCTCGATCCTGCCACGGCTCTCTGCCGTGACAGGGGAGGGGCTGGATTCCCGCTCCGATCTGCCAGCACTGACTGGCGGAACGGACGGGGGAGGGGGCGGGTACAGCTGGCTCGGCCTCTAGATAGTCAGAGCCAGCTGTCACTCACGCAGCTGGGCGGATCTCGACATCGATGTCGGGATCCGCTCCGGCGTCTCAGTATACTGAGCTTAGGGTAACGGGAGGACGCTAGTTTGTGTCCTCCCGTTACCCTGAGAACGATGGGGAAAAGCCCTTACCCCATAGTTCTCCTTTAAGACAGGAAATGGAGGGCTCAAGATAGCTGCTGCAGCTTCAAAAAGGTTACATTGTACAGATGCAGGTTCGCAGGGAATTTAGTGTAATCGGTTAAACGGGAGGACTTGCTACAAGTGTGGGTAAAAAAAGGCAAGTCTTGAGGTTGACTTAACATGACACACTGAATAGTTATAAGCACATTCCTTGTTGGAAGGGAAAGAAGAACATGATCACTTCTACTAAATGTCATGTTTATTATGTTTAAATTGAGTAACAGTTGTACTGTAATGTAGCTCTAATAGTCACTCACCTCCCCATGGTTAATGAAGCCATGTTTCTCACATAATTCGTCAGCCACTGCCGGACCCCCCGGTATCCGGACTGCCCAGGTATTTGTATACACTTTGTGTCCAGTCAACTCTGTGAACAGTGTTGACAGGTAAGTCCAAACCAGAAACAGCACAGTAGGCCTTAGCTCCATGACAAAGCTTCGTGCTCCTGGGAGAATGTAATTCAGTCCTCAAATGAAGTCACATCAGATGCCTGACTCCGCACAATCGGCTTTCTCTGGGCAGGAACTTCGCTGAGTCCTGGGGATCATGGGGTCTTAAAATCAATCTTCAATTGCTACATAGAAGTAAAAATAATCCTCCTAATGTGGCGGAAGACTGTGCAGCCAGGAAGATTGGGTCCAGATATGTTTCTGTGTCCAGGGAGAGAAAAGAAAGAAAAAAGGCTTTATGTCATGTATTCATAATGTACAAATATGAACAAAAAAAACAAAAAAAAAAAGTGGAATGCAAGCTCAATTAGAAGCAAAGGGGACCCATATTAAAAATATCTACATTGCAGCAAGCGCAAAACCACTTTTACTGAAAAATGTAACAATTTTTGCAACATCCTGGGGTAAAAGCTGCGCAAAATTTTTGTTTAGTTGTGGTTAAGCACTGGACCCATTTTTAGACCATCCCCTACTTTTTCTTTGTTCTTGCACGGCACTCTGCAAATAGAAATCATCTCTAAGGCCCCCTTCACACCAGGGCAACAGCGGTTCAGCGTGTTTTACATGCGTTTTTTTGAAGCACATATCATTCATACAGAGTTTCCATTGAAGTCTATAAGGAAAATGCGCTGATCGGCGCTACAAAAAAGCTCAGGGAGCATTTCAGGAGACAGGCATATTGGAACACACGATTCCGTGCGTTTGCAAGAACGGCCCCCATAGGAATGTATGGGATTTGAAATGTTGCCGTTTCAGCATTGAAAAATATGCACAACGCAACCGCCCTGGTGCGAACGAGGCCTTATTTTGTTGCAGTGACTGTACATGATTTGGAAACATCACAAACATCCAGTTGGAAACATTTACATTTTTATTTGTTGGCATGTTGGTCTGCCTGATATCTACAAGGTACAATAGAATAATCTAGTCACAGCATTCAACATAACAGCAACACTTTCTTTGCAGAAACCGGAAAAGAAATTGTTTCCCACTGGGATCACTGCATACACCAACAGCATGCACAAGCCCAGGGAAATACAGCAAGTAAAAATATTGAAAGTTTATCTAAACCCAAGAATAATAATGTAACATTGCAGCTTGGTAGTCCTTAGCCCTCATTCACACTAGTAACAGCCGGCCCGTACAGATCTGTGCTGCGTGCACGGTCGTACGCTCACCTAAACTGCATGTCCATACTTTGGTGGGTGTCCCTGCTCGGACGCAGAAACCCACACCTGTACGGACGTGCAGTTCAGGTGAGCGCAGGGCGATGTACGGCCGCGTACTCCCATAGAGAAGAACAGGCTGCTGCGTGTAATCACACGCAGCACCTGTCCTTCCCGGGAGCAGCCTTTATACGGCCGTGCACACAGCATGGATTTGTATGGGCCGGCTGTTACTCGTGTGAATGAGGGCCTAGAGGTGATGGTTGCATTCGTTTTCAGGTTCTCCCCCCCACCCCCCTTTAATTTCACCTGGTGACCATGACAGTAACACATTTTCTTTCCTAAAAGGGTAACTCAGCATACTGTATCTATGAAGAAGAAGCATAGACACCCTAGGCTGCGTGCTCTTGATTTGGATTACAGAACCCCCATTCCATAATATAGCTAGTGGTCCTCTGTAGTTCAGAAAAGCTTAAAACAAGAAATCCAGGGGGGAAAAAAATTAAACTTTGCACTGCAAGGGTTAACTGCACATTTTTTTTGTTTTAAACTTAAAAAAAAGTTATACTCTCCCCAATCCTCTGGGCCAGCTTGTTCTTCGACCGGTCCCTAGAGCCCCCACTCCACTGCAGAGGTCTATCCCATGAACCACCAAGTTCTATATACAGTGTATAGACCTAAGGATCCTTAAGGAGAAGAGCAGCAGGAGGGAGCAATGGGACAGCTGACTCGGAGCTTCGGGTGAGTATAACTTATTTTTTAACCCTTTAAAAAAGGGTTAAGTGCTTGTTTAGACAAAAACTAGCACAACTCTTGCAGTACGGGGGGCAGCGCCACTGCAAGGGTTAAGAAAACGTTTTCTTGGAGTTCTTTAAAATAGCAGCAGCAATTGTTTTTCACTTGGCAAATTAACAGGCCATAAGAGAGCAAATTGTTCAATCTTACATTTATTGAAGAGGTGTGAATAAGGACATGCAAATGTGCACACATGTCGCACTTGACACATGCATTACCGAATAAACCATCAACGCACCAAAGAAAAAAAAAAAAAAAAGTCAAACGCTTACACCTGACCTATTTTTGGCAAGGCAGCACACTGCAACGCATTCACATCTGAACATTGTAGTGTGCACTATATGCACGTTGGATCCCAAGTCAGAATAATGGCAATGCACATATACAATGTGTTAAATGCATTGTGGTAATCCTCGTGATCATGTATTATAATGCACATTAGCACATAATCCTCAGTGTGAATAAGCCCCAAGTGGCATTATAACAAATCTACGATTTGGATGTAGCAGAGGCACTGCAATTCCCAGGTTTGCCATCTATAAATTTAAATTCTACACAGAAAGTTTCAAGCAGCACTAGATCCCCACATATGAAATAATCAAACAGCCAAGAACATTAAAATGTAGCAGGCATTGCCGAACGATTATGCTGCCAATAATTTGTCTGGCAGCCTCTGTGTTTTGAAATAGCTTGACACTTTGTGGGCCTGTTTTATTACAGGGAGGTTAAAATTTAAAAAAAAAAAAAAAAAAACTCCCAGGACTTCGTCACTTTTTCTATGGAAATAAATTGAACTCCAGATGTGCTGTTTATCGTAAGCCTGTAATAGACTCTCCGCGGTTTTTCTCTGTCAGTAGAGCTTTATGCAGATAAAAGTGTAACTTATCAGTCCGGAACATTAAAAGGAGGACAATAAAAAAAATAAAAAAGGAACCTGCTTCGGCACAGCGGTAGGCCTTCTTCCAATTAAAAAACCTTATAGAGCTGGCCCACTTATTTTGCCATTTTAGTTTAAACTGACAATTGTACCAACTCTGCTGGAATAACCACTTAAAATCTGCAGTTTTGTTTTTCCTGTTAAAATTATGCTTCCCCCTCCGACATCAACAAGACTGTCAAATATAAAACGGGGAGCAGTCAACTGAACCACAAGCCCGTTGGTATGTAACTACCTACTAAATGGATTCCACCATCTTTCCCTCACCCTGCAATGCTCCATTCAGGCTTCAGCTCTCCCCTTCAGAAGGACTTTAACATTTGGATGAGATGCAATCCTCAAACCTATAAAATAGCCGTCAACCTTTAATTGGTCCTGGTAAAACTTAGTTTACCTTTGTTGAACCAGTTGGTGCCTGCACGGCCTTCTACAAATCAAATTTTGGCCGATTCAGAAGGAATTGGGCAAGTTTCGATAAATATATGGTCAGTTAAAGAAGAACTATGAGATGAGTGATTTCCACTCACCTCATAGTTCTACCCGACCTGTGACAATGAGACTGTCACAGGTCGGCTCACCTCTCGATCCTGTTACGGCTCTCTGCCGTGACAGGGGGAGGGGCTGGATTCCCCTCTCCCCGCTCCGATCCTCCAGCGCTGACTAGCGGAACGGATGGGGGAGGGGGCGGGTACAGCTGGCTCTGCCTCTAGATAGGCAGAGCCAGCTGTCACTCACGCAGCTGGGCGGATCTCGACATCGATGTCGGCATCCGCTCCGGCGTCTCAGTATACCACGAGCTGTAGCTCATGGTATACTGAGCTTAGGGTAACGGGAGGACGCTAGTTTGTGTCCTCTTGTTACCCTAAGGAGAACTATGGGGAAAAACACTGACCCCATAGTTCTCCTTTAAAGAGTCTCTCATCCTCTCCTGTGCTTAAAAGTCCCCTGTTCAAAGTAACAATGATGGCATGTTCCATTTACACCTATTTAGGAAGAAAAGCATCAGGCAAATGAAAATATCCAATAATGCCGTTCGCTCTTCCCCCCAGATTGGTTGGCCAAGCAGCCTTGGGCACAATCTGGACACAGCAGGATCCATGCCAGATCAAGAAAATAAGGCCTATGGCCTTTTGGATGCAATAGATTCTGGGGCACATTGTACCCCACTGTAGCAAAAAAAAACAAAAAACTTGACAACGCCTTACTGTGCCTGTTGGTCAAAATTCAGATCATCATTACTATTTTTGCCTAATGATAGGTGCACTTTAAAATAGCATACATGCTAGCAGGCCATATATGTCTACTATGCAGCTCCATAAATCTGATCGACTTTGAATTAACTTTTTTCTTTTTAACCATAAAATGCAGAATACAGGTGTTGATTAAAACAAGTCAATTTTCTTGCTGTGACAAAACAATTATCTTGTTCAAACAAAATCCAGTTAAAAGTCCTGAGGTTTAATGGAGGAATGTGCCTCTTTTCCCTCAGCCTAAATAAAGTCATGGTAATGTAATAAATAAATCAGACATTAGAGCCATACAGCTGACAATAAGATCAGTGTAGTGTGGCTGGCAGTTACATGCAACACTGACATGGAAACCTTGTAACATACACACAGTTACAAGCTCATACAAAACCAAGATTAAAAGCTTTCATGTTCTCACAGTATTCTGCTTATTGTTGCAAGAACTGCACAAAACAAAAACAAAAACCCCACACAAACGCACATCTTATCACCATCATTAACCAGGACATTTGCAGAACGGCCATCAAATAGGCTACCACTGGCCAGCCTAGCAAGTATCTCTCCAACCATGATCCATCATGGCACCTCTACGTGTCTTCAAACCTGTCATCAGAGCGCTGGGAACACAGAGCAGTCCTTTCATTAATTGGTTGACAGGAGCTAGTGTTCACACGATGACATGATTACATGACGACAGTCATCTTCCCTTTTCACCAAAGATAGAGTGCAACTGGCTTCTTCATACATACACAAAGGGGGCAAACATCTCCGTGTGATAAACAACATTTCCAATCAAAAAGTGCTGGTTGCTGCCATAGAACAATAAGCAAGACTTCATTAGAAGGACTACAGCAATCCTCCCCCACAGACATTTCACCGAAATGACAAAGTACAGCAAGCCTCTAGATTTATTCTAGTGTTTAAAAAAGGAATACAAACCTCATTTAGGCCAATATCAAACCAATGCTTTTAGATCCTCACTCAAACAATATAGTAAAGCAGTGCTCCAGCCAAACAACCTATTACACTACCAAAATATTTATATAGTACAACACTACTTGTGTATCCAGTAAATGATATATGAATGAGCATTGCCACATTGAAAAGTTCTTCCCCTTATTAAATAGCTTCCATTCTCACCAACACTATCTGAAATATATTAAGAAGGCAGAACACAATCAGATAAACCATGCACAGACACAAATGTCACCCAGACTTCAATTTTTCTGATTGTAGGCACTGAAGAACAGTGATGTTCCACACTAAAAACTCAGTCTTGCTTCTAATGACACTGCATTGCAGTTATATTGCGTGGTCAGCTCAGCCTTCTTCTTTAACATGACATCTTATAGGCAACTATTCGAAGAGTATTTAAAGCCAATCTCCGGGCAAACCAACAAACCACCCTTGCAGTGCAGGAGTTGCCTCAGGCACTCATTTATGCCAAGGGGACAGGAATTTTTTTTTTCAATTACCTGATCCCCACTCCCGCCGGTTCCCATCAGCCGTGAGGACCCAGCAAGCAACCGCCTGAGCACACGGGCGTGCGGTCTGAGACTGACACACACACTGGGGTGTTTTTCTGCAGCTTCTCCCACCAGAAAACAGCCAAAAGAGGTGGTGAGAAGAGGTAAGTAATTAAATAAAATGATTATCTGTAGCCCAACTGATGGGCATGCTGTATAAATTACTACTGGTATTTGTAGTGCTCTATAGCAGGTGCCATTCTGCATTGTAGCAATGCAGACTGGCACCCTCTATAGAGGACTACAAATCTCAGCAGTACTTTATACAACAAAACACAAATTTTTATTTTTTTTATTCTTATTTCAGAGCATAGGAATTATTTTCAGTAAACAGTTTGCCAACTTTAACAATTTCAATGAAGGGACTCCCAGCTGTCATGGATCATATTTTAGAGCACTGATCAGTGACTGTTTGCCAAATGCATGGTAAATTCCTGCGCTACATTGTCATTTCTATAAGTCTATGGAGAACAGTTATTAGTCACAGCAATGAGTTACACTTCTCTCGGAAACGAGTCCCAGTCCAAAAAAGTGATACAGCAGTCCTAGGTGTATACACGTGACAACAGTACTCGGAGCATAATGTACTATGATACAGCAGCCTTCAAGAATCTGAGGTAGACAGCACTGCAAGGAGCTGACCCGATAAGGCCCTCATCACACTTTGAATAAGACTGTGCCCCGGTGACCACAGGCAAAGGTTCTCAGATCCCCTCTATAATTTTCTTGGCTCTTTCCGTAGACATGTGGAATGAGGTCACTACAAGTGCGGGAAGCAGTCTTCCTACATTGTACTGACCGCAGCCAGCCTGTCTCTGCTTTGTGCAGGTATTGACATGCTGCGGTCTAGAAGCACTTAACCCTTTTGCGGCTATTAAAGTAACAATTGGCTTGAACAAACTTCTCAAAAATGCCAAGCACAATTAATTGCTTTTCCTTTTAAGAATGCAATTAGATCACATAACCAGTCAGGTTATGTTTAGGTGCGTCAAGAAGATTCAAAAGGCCCTCTTAATAAAATACTGCATTGCTTTCTTATAAAAGAAGGTATTACTAATGGCAAAACCCTATAATTCAAATGTACACTTCACATGAACCTATCCAACTCATTCCTTATCAGTATATTTGCATGTAAAAATACCTGATTGGCTTCTTCTACTCCTCCTCTTTGCCAGTCAGAGTATTGCTGTATGGGGGATAAGTGTCAGATATCACGATATTCTATAAAATATATTATTTTTTTTATATTTATATCATACACACACTATATACATATTACATATGTTCGTGTACATGGGGACGGGGGGGACGGGGGGGTTGAGATTTAAACTTTATATACTTTATTGCCATCAAAAAGAGGAGCCAATAAGACCCCTATGTGATAGCATATTAGATGCGACAGGTCCTCTATAAGCAAACATCTGGGGTCTCTTAAACCCCTACAGGTCACCCCTGTAATCTTTTGAAGCTAAACAAGCACAGACTGTGCTTCATTCCCAGACAGAGATCGACAGCTGAACTGAAACCAAAGTGGGTTCATTCTTCACCAAGGTGATCAGCCATTGAATCCTGACCCTGGAGGTCCAGAGCAGTCAGGAGGGACAGGTGAGCCACCTATACTTGGAAGCAGTGGCATCTTCTGCCGCATGTAGAAATGAGCAGTCTGGAGATTGTTCACATGCCAGTACGGTCATGAACATAGTACTGAAAGCCCCACACTGCGCGGTTACGGAAATTCTTATTGTATTATATGCAAGGACACCAAGTGTCCCCCCACAGCAGTGTCAGAAGAGTGCTGGCTGCAGGGGTGTAGAATAAGGTTATTTCACATTATTTATTATAATATTAAAAGTACTCCACAAATCACCAACATCAGAACCAAATTTGGATACGAAGTAGGTAGAACAAAACTATGAAGCAAATGTAAAAATCATCCTTGCAGCTACCAACAGACTTAGTGAATGGCTGATTTCAGCATATGGTACATGAAGTTACAGAATAATGCTTGAGTTTATCACCATTTCAGTTAGCAAGCACAAATAATATCTAAGTAGAGGGCAAATCAAAGTAGAGGGTAGAGTTTTTTTAAAAGGTGTAATCATCTCCCAGACTATTTTAAACTATAAATACATTTTGTATAAAATCACCAGCATTCTTATATTAAAACCTTGTTTCTCTTCTACATATGCTGGAACGAGTAATGATTTAGGTTGGTCTTCAAATGGTACACAAACAAGCTATTTCATTAAGTATTGCAAAAAGCAATGTTTTTGTACAAAGAGCAGAGCAGAAATACATGTCAATTAGATTTCAGTTTACGATGCCAAGCTTAGACAGGAGATGTTTTAACGTTTGCCTGTCTAAAGCTGCCCATACACAGGAAGATTTCTAGGCTGAGAGAAAGCACTTTAATCCCCCATGCACAAGAAATCTTACCAAAATGTTTACAGTGTTATTTCATCTGCTGGGGGAACAAGTGCATATTGCACTTGGCCCAATTCAAATGTGTCCTCCCATTTAGCAAGCAGTGTGGTCAGAGTTTCAGCATCTTTTCCGACCACACTGCTAGCAAGGAGTGGCATGGCTTGTCTGTGGCAGCAGGGGGCGCTCTAGAGAACAGTACTACAAAGTAGAACAGATTACACAGTGCTGTGGGCTTTGATCTACCGGGGTGTATTTTCAAGCAGCGAAGACAGATAGATCACATAGCCCTGCAGTGCTGAATGATCTTAATTTAAACAGTCCGTACTGTCGGGGCAAGTACAATGACAGCCTTGACAGTGCTGAGCATTCATGACATCAATCCATTCTGCAGGACTGTAATGGATATTTGCTGGGGCTGCTGGTCAATACACAGCCCCAGCAGACAAATCATAGCCTGCAGCGCTGAGTGAACTATAATAACTGAATGCTTAGCATTGTTGGGGCTGTGTCATACACTGTACTGGCTCACACAGTGCTGAGTGTTCATTGCAATGCACAAGGAAAGTTGCAGTGACCAACACAGCTCGTATGAACAGGCCCTAGGCATATGGATGGAGGACTCTGCCCAGTCAGCTCTTGGATTCCGACAGCCAGTGCCAGCGGCTGTCAGAACACTTGAACAGTGGATTACAGCTAATTGGCAGACAATTTTCCCACACAGCTCCTTTAATAAAGTTGAACAATTGCCTTTTGTTGACCTGGGTGGGATTGGCGATGATAGAATTTCGTATGATTCTGCAGGAAACTGCTAAAATTAGAGCCCATGTATGGTCAGCTTTAGTAATTGCAAAAGTGCAACAGGATCAATAGTTTAACCTCTTGCCGTCCGCCCGTAGTAGAAAAACGGACGGACGGCACTGCTGCATTGGCGGGTTGCCGTCGCCAGACGGCATTTTTTTCTGCTCGCGCGCGCCCCCTAGCGGGCACGCACGGGCAGAAAAGACCCGTCCAATGCGAACACCCGGTACCGGGTGTTTCACATATAGGCGATCAGCGGGTCCATAGCCCGCCGATCGCCTATATGTGCTCGTCCGCATTCACCTGTCAGTCATCTGGAGAGAGAAGAAGCTGATAAAGCAGATCTCTGCTTTATCAGCTTCTTTTGGGGTCCATAGGTGATATTAGGGGTCCTAGAGACCCCTAATATCTCCATAAAGAGGACCTGTCAGTGTGCCTTTGCTATTATATAAGGGGATTGTTATCCCCCTATATAATAGCAATAACAATAAGTGCAAAAAAATAAATATAAATAAAAATAAATAAAAGTAACACATAAAAAAGTAAAATAAAATAAAAGTCACATATAAAAAAAGGGGGAAAAACCCCCCCAAAATGTTTAACTCCCCCACCCCCACGTTTACGCGCCTATAAACGTAAATACGCGTCCGGTGCCCCAGCGCGCAAAAATTACAATTGCGCTACACATGTTACATATCGCCGCGAACGTCGCAGTGAGAGCAATCATTTTAGGGCCATCAATCACTGATAACACTAAACTGATGAGCGGTAACAGCTTTTAAAGCGTCGCCTATGGCCAATTTTAGGTATTATCGTTTTTTGAGGTTTTGCGCGCGCACGCAATTTTAAGGCTTGACATGTTTGGTGTCTTTTTACCCGACGTGACCCCGTCTTTTATATTTTACCAAAAAATTGGGTAATAAATGTTTTATCATTTAATATAGGGGAAACTTTTTTTAAAAAAATTTCGGTGATTTTTCCTTAATATAGTAAAAAAATAAAAACCCCAGTGGTGAATAAATACCACCAAAAGAAAGCTCTATCTGTCCCCAAAAAAGGGTATAAAATTAATTTCAGTACAGTGCTGCATGACGGAATAAATGTCAAAGTACCGCAGCGCTGAATACTGAAAAATGGCCTGGATGGGAAGGAGGTTTAACACCGCGGATGTCAACTGGTTAAATGACAACAATGGTTCTAAGCCACCTACATGCACTTCTGCATCATACAAAGAGTGCATACAGAAGTAAAGAGCTTTGACCCATAGTGTTGTTCTTCTAACTGCAAACAAATCACAAAATGTACACCATTGACCCAAAACAAAAAACAAAAAAAACAGCACAACAAGCATCCTTGCAGTCAAGTACCATGCAAAACTGCAAGAAAAAGGCCCAGCTATAATCACCATCAGGAACCACTCTTATTCTCTGCAAACACATTTAGCCATGAATTACCAGAGTAAAAGCACGGCCAGTAATGACTTGATCAAACCAGGCTTTGTGCTAAAAAAAACTCTCCTTGTTCTCCCTCATTGCCCTTCTCACGGATTCTTTTTATCTAAAAAAAATTTTTATTTTCTCCCCTTTTTCAAAGCTCATCTGGAACCACTGTTATCAATTAAAGAGGAAAAAGAAAAAAGATAAAAAGTATTTATTTTTAAAATTGGGCAGTAAAGCAAAACAGCTAAATATACACTAGTCTGTTCTAGGTTCTCATTCATCCAGGTCATGGTATACCTGTAAAAACATGAATCCAGGAACTGGACTTTGTCTCTGTGTGTATATGAGATGTATAGCTGTATATATAATTTTAGCTTCCTCAATTCAGAAAACTAAATCTCAATTCTGAATTCTGAATTGAGAGAGCTAGTCGGATGGCCAGTGAAAGGTATTGAAATTCATACGCAAACAAATTTAACGGTCAAAAGATTTATAAATACGATTAGCTTTTCTTATGATTAATTCACACCTGCCAGACAATATGGCCAGGTCTCTGACACTACTTCCTTCACTCCAATTAAAGCAATACAGTTTTTCCAAGGACATGTCCTGTGAATGAGCAGCATCTGATAAGGTCATCCATACACTCCATCATCAAGCTTTCCATTTAGCGCACTAGTGTCTGACAGTGCTGCTCCTGTTGATTACAGGAGATTAACAAAGACTGATTCTATTTTTCATTTTTTTTTAATAACTGGATTAAATGTGAGTATTTTACATTTGCCTATAGTTATATCTTAAATTAACAAAGTATATTTTTTCCCCTCCCCCAATGTTAGTGTAAGCACTTACCTTAAATGATGTCTCTAAATCCGATCTTTTTTTGTCGTTTTCATCTGTCCCTCCAGCACCGACTCCTCTGTGCTTGCTGGCTCTTCCTGTCCCACGATGTCTGCATGCAGGTGCGCGCTGTCCATAGACTTACCTTGTGTCTCTCATTTCCTAGCCAAAAATCTGAACCGCACATACTCGCCCCAAGATCCTTTTTTTTTAAGCTTTTGCATATATCTACTGCTCGCTAGCAGTAGATATATGCAAAAAAAACTGCAGTGTTTGAAAACCCTTTAAGCTATAAAAATAACACACAGCTGGAATATGATGTTATGCACACAGAAATGTGGCAACAGTCTTTACAAAGTTTGGAAAGTATGTCAATATATGTTAAACAGTTGATTAATTTTAAAACAGACTTTAACCCAAACACAGGAGATGGTAAAAGAATAGCCAATTTTTAGAATGAGCAAACTGGATTAAAGCTTTGATCTCCTGTGGGTGAGGGTCTTGCTTCCAGCTCCTCCACCGCCAAAGGGCTAATGATGGTATTAGTTATCCAATTAGTCAGGCTGTTCTAGGACATTTACCAAGTAAGGGCATGCAGGGATTAACCCTTTAACACTGCCTTAAGGCATAACTAGCATACCAGTATGCGAGAGACAATAAACATCACAAACTTCAAAAGAATAAAAATCGACTACATAAGCACTGGAAACACTAACAACAACACTGACAGCTCAAGAATCAAAAAGTATTACAGGTAGTGTAATGCAATGGATCCTTATCCCATTGTGTGACTTACAGTTTGAAGATGAGGCTCTAGTTAGGCACCATGCACTTATGCTGCCTTACAGGTAAAGTTAGTCTAGTGGCTGCATCAGGGGTCTCTACACAAAGGCGACTCCCTGCCAATTGCTTTCTGGCAATGTCCAATAACTTTGCATCTCAATCACAAGGGTCGTTACGCTCATCATACACAAGAAAGCCCTCTGATATTTTATGACAAAAGGCCGGTGCCAGGGGTGTTTTCTAGATGCATAAATATGCAAGGTCAGCTGAAACAATTTAGCACATACAAAAGATCAGTGCACCCATTAGTCATTTTAAAATTTATAAACATAAAGCCCTTTTGTTTTGTTCATCTGGTTGTGTGAATGATCATTGAGATTATAAAAATGATGCGATTAATATGTGCAGTATTGCGTCAAGCCCTAATGAACAACAAGGCAATACAGCCCAATGGTTGGGTGTACTTCCAACCTCATTTTTAAATCTAAAATGTAATTTTATTCTCTCAGAGAAAAAAGTTTAAGGATTAAACTTTTCATATATAAATGAAACCAAAAAAAGCCAAGCAGCGTATCTGTTCCATATTACAGATTTACAATACCTTGTTCAGCACTGTGTTGCTGTGTGGCAGTTACCATTTTAGTAAAGGAACAGGATTTATTTCTTATATCAGAGCTGCCCCCTGATGATTTGTGCGCCAATTGGCAGGAATATATTCAAAAAGCAGCAAGCATAAATTAAGAAAGCACAAATCCAGAACATAAAAATGAGATCCTTGAATTGCAGCTCCTCAGGTACAACTTCCACTCCAGCAAGTAGAACAGTAGTGATAATCAGCAATTATCCTGAGACTAAAAAGGTGCCCATACACCTTACGATTATCGGACAAAACATTTTGTCCGATTGAATAGTCGTACGATTTTCGTACAGCAGTCCCATCCTGCCCCGATGATCGCAAGATTAAATTTAGCCATAAATGAACGAAAAGCACCTGGACGAAATGTGGTAATGGATTTGCTGTATTTTCATTAGCGCAAGCGCAGTGTAGATCGTACGACTTTTGACAGACGGAAACGCCAGCAACCTTACGAAAATCGTACGATCTAGCAAAGTTTTCAAACATGCTTGACCGGCAAAAGTCGTACGATTGTACAGTACTGTCGGTCGGACACTGCAATGCACACATACGATTATCGGACGAAAAGTCGATCGCATACAAAAATCGTCCGATAATCGTAAGGTGTATGGGCACCTTAGCAGTCAGAGGCAGTAGTGCCTCAGCAGTTCTACACATCACCTCAGCTGCCAATTACACGTGAGATAGTGCCTGTGCTCATTTTTATGAACTATCCCTCCCAATATCAAGATATGTTGATACATAGCTAAAATAATGAGTAAAAACAAACTGTTTCCTTGGACAAGGAAGGCTAGCCCAAAGAAATATAAAGCCATTAACCACATGCATTTTACTGTTTGTTTACATCGCACTTATTTTACTACAGTGCACAATAAAAAGGGTACAAAACAATATGTTCTGCTTATGGGAAGGGCTTTTAACAACTGGCGTGTGTGTGAAAAATTCACATTTCTTTACTGTTAGGATAATAGAACAGTGTAAAAATGTTGTGTTCAGACTTCTGGCACCCAGGAAGAAAAAACACTTTTTTTTTTTGCCCTCCAAACATCCATGTGTGGAACCAGATTAAACGTGTCCTATCCTGTAGTCAGTTTTAAAGCATCACAGCCAAGTGCTTCAACTTGTAAAAAAAATGGTTGCAAAAATCATTCACAACCTATTAGGTATCTAGGACTTTCTCAAGGCCTTCCAGGCTGTACCGTGTTAATGGGATGGCAAAGCCAGGCACAGTGTGAAAGAACCCTTGGAAAGCATTAGGCATGTAAACAATGTCCCCATTTTAGAGTCAGTACATGTGATGTCTTTTGAAGTCAGGGTTGTCTAGACATCCAACCGACCTCAATCTGGTGCTGCATTATTCTTATGAGGCAGTAATGTATTAAAAAAAAAACGTACACCCACAGAAAACCCACATATGCTACTTTCCACCAAGGCCTGGTTCACACCTGGGCGTTTTGTAGCGTGTTCGAACGCTCTGCAAAACGCTCAAACACTGAAATCCCATTATTTCCTATGGGTATGGTTCACACCTGGGCGTATTACAGGCCGTATGAACGCGCT